AATAAGTGAATTGACAAAAATGTCCCTAGAGACAAGATTGTTGACTTTCCTTGACCTTCATCTCGTGACGTGTACAAGTTATTATTTTACTATATTTTTAAAGCACTCGACGGTACAAACACGTAGGCGCAAGTCGAATCGAATTCGGAGTTACGACGAAGATTCTACAGAAATACGAACGTGAGGGTACTTTAGTCTTCAATTTCATCCATCCATCTTGCTCCATGCATGTGCTATCCATTCCAAGCCCAAAACTGCTCCAAAATGCACCAAAATGCATCTTATTGCTTTATAAGGCCTATGGACCTACAAACACACGAAAATAGCTTAAAATACATAATTAACTAAGAAATAACAACATAAATGCATAAGAACAAGCTAACTCAGTGGCATAAATATGCTCCTATCACTATTTGCTGGTCATCATTACCAAACGATGCAACCACTCTAACTTGATTTCTTCTTTATATATATTTTCTTTCTATCTTAAGTATTTTACGTATAAAAACTTATTCTAAATTTTGGGGACAAAATTTTTTAAGGTGTGTACTTGTGACAACCCGTCTCTAATTTTACAATTTAATTAATTTTAAATAAGTGAATTGACAAAAATGTCGCTAGAAACGAGATTGTTGACTTTCCTTGACCGTCATTTCGTGACATGTACGAGTTATTATTTTACTATATTTTTAAAGCACTCGACGGTACAAACACGTAGGTGCAAGTCGAATCGAATTCGGAGTTACGACGAAGATTCTACAAAAATACGAACGTGAGGGTACTTTAGTAATTTTATATTTTTGAATTTGGGCCCTTGATTATTTTAATATTTTCTGGTGGGATATTTTAATTCTTTTATTAATTTGTTGAACTATGGGGCCTACACTCACACCAAACTCTCCGCTTTTTCCTCGCCACGTGTCAAATTTTCCCCACACTTTAGGCGACACTCTCAAACTCTCTCATACCTCAGTCTCTCGTCCCTCTCTCTTTGATAACTCTTTCTACCTCCCCTCTCTCTCTGTGAGATTTGCTGGACCACCATCACCCACCATCCTTTCAGACAAGCATCATGGCCACAAACCTGAAGCCCACCTCATTACTTGGCCATGAAACTGCATACCCAGATCCCGATCTGCAAACATGAACCCAGACCTCGATCTCCATGTTTCTCGGTGAGTCACCATGTTTTCCAACCAAGCTAGGCCTCAGGAACCCCCTTCTTTCGTCCTTTTTCGTCATTGTGAAAGATTTTAAGGTTTTAGGCCTTCATTGTAGGGTTTGGGGACATAAACTACTCTGGGAAAAACATTCCCAAGTTTTCAACAAAGGACTGCGGAATTGCAGGCCATTTATGGCTAGTTCCAGCCACAACTCATGTCCCACTTGGTATATTTTTATTCCTTACCCCTTGAGCTTCATTTTAACTTTTGAATCTTTGAGTTTGGTTAAAAAGTGAACCCGTTATGACCATTTGAAGTTTCCAACCACCTTTCTTGCGATTCAGCGTTTTTCTTCGTTAAGTCCAATGACCCGCGAGCCCAAACGGGTCAATCAGACCGTGTATAGAAAAAAAGGGCCTAAGCCCAAACCCGACCCAAACCTTAAGCCCAAAATGGGCCATTGTTCTTACCTAGCCCATTTTCTAAATGGGCTCAGAATATTCTAGGAATATTCCTTGTGTTGACTTTTTCAAATTTGTCTTAAAAACCCTCATAACCTAATTTCAATGCCTCGAGTCTGGTTTTGAAATCCATTTAGTGAAATTCCGACGTTTTAACGTAGTTGACCGGCTCGGCATCACGGTTAAGTTTTTAGGGTTGACCGTTGACTTTTTACAAAATATGCTTGAGATCCTTCTTATCGTATTTCGACGCGCTGATTCTGAATCCGCTGTCCGTTTCTCTAAGTTCAAACATTTTAATTGAGTTTTACTAATGGGTCCCAATATTATGCTTAAGTGCGATTACTATCGGAGACTCCAGCTTCACTCATTCAAACGACTACAACTTCGCAAGTATCTGTGAGTAGGTCCTTTCTTTTATATAGTATATATATATTTGTTAGTTTCCATTTATATATTTTATAAAGAATTTTCTACGGTATGCCTAGATTAGCTTAACGTTTATAAGAGTTAGCGCATTGATAGATATTATGAAATTATGCTACGTCCTATGGGATGCACATATATGCATACAATTATGGGATGCCTTAATTATATTTGCGGCCATGAATAGTGTTATGTTGACTAGAATTATCAATATGTTGTTGCATGATCATATTTATGTTATCTGCTCATCGTTGATGCGCTAGTGTTAATACTCGCTTGGGGTCAGGGCCAGTCTTTCACGTTTATATTCACATAGCACCGTACGCTCACTTTGGATCCATTGTAGGTGCTAGTCCAGTCCTAGATTGCTATTGGTAATTAGGATTCGTATGTGATGCGCATAACACCAGTCTTCACGTAAAGTAGTATTAGAGCGTAAATCATTATTACACCCAGTCCTGTTCATGTCAGAATATCGCTGCATGAACTCCTATGTCAACATATATCGATGAGCACCTGATATGATAATGTTTATTTATGTGAGACATTATTTTTAATGGAAGTTATATGCTTATTTACGCATTATTGTGAAATATTGCATTATTGAGATATTGCTGGCTATGGTAAGTATTTTCATACTATATGTAGTATGTTATATGTGGAAATTATATTTGTTTTACAACGATGGATTATTATGTTTTTGAAAAGGTTTTACAAAGGTTTATTTTTAGGCCCACTCACATTTGTTTTTCGCCCATCCAGGTTTTATTAGCTGAGCTTTCGTATGGACGAAGATTCTTGGCAAATCTTGGTATTGGTGATTATCTTCGATGGTATAATTCTTAACCTACCTTTACTGTACTTTACTTATGCTCTGACATTACGTGTGAAATGAGTTCATTTCCGCTCACAAGCGCACTCTTACATTTATGCACTTTTAGGTTTAAATTTACTCACATTTTCCACATCACTACACTTTATGCCTTTCGTCACCTTCTGGTGTTAGCCAGTATAGCTCGATTTGGAATCCAGTGGACATTCTGGGTCGAGGTATGTCATATTGTCAATATTTTTCTTCCCCCCGATATGCCAAAATTTATTGCTTCATTTATGTTTTTTTAAAAAAAATAATAACAAAAGTTGGGTTGTTGGTTGTTTAAAAATAATAAAATAATACTTAAATATGCTAGCATTTAAGGTAAGGCAAGTAGAATGCTTTTGGAAATAGCAAAAACCATATTTGAAGGTAGTTTCAAATTTGGCATTTCTTTGTCCATGCCAGCTTTGAACATCTTGGTTGGAGTAAATAGCACGTCATTGTTACTGTTATATATATATATATATATATATATGTTTATGTGGCACTTTTGACATCTCCTTTGAATATGAACTAAACTTCCAATAGTATAACAAGCTTTTACATGCATCTACTAATATTATTTAGGTTTGTATTAGGGGGAGGAAGGACCAGCTAAACTAAGCTAAGCTAGCTAAGTGTGGTGATTTGTAGTTTGACCAAATCCAGTAGGCTGGGTAGCCAGCTGGGCAGTTTGCCAAAATAAGATCTGGCCTAGCAAAAAGAAAACTAAGCTAAGCTAGCCAAGTGTTATCTAGTGAAGGTTTGCATGGCTTAGTTGTGCACTTGCGTTACATGTACCATTTCACACATGGAAACAAGCAACTAGTATTTCTCATTCGTTGCCACCTGTGTCCACCTGTTCCTCCAAACATCCCCAACTTGGCACTCTAGGATTTTTATCTCATCCCTTCGTTAAACTCTCTCTCTCTCTCCTCTCTCTCTCTCTCTCTCTCTCTCTCTCTCTCTCTCTCTTTCATACGTTATATCCTCTTTTAAATGGCCAAACCCACATCTCGAAGTTCACCAACCCATCAAGTATTACCCCACACTGTATACTTACATTACTAGCTCTCTTACCCATATTATTTAAATCATTTCTGTTCTTACCAAAACTAATATCTAATCAAAGTGTAGAAATAGCAGTACAACCAGAGTTAGCCAATGGCTTCCTTTCTAATGTTGTCCATGTTCTTATTGGTTACTACAATTCTGGGTACCTCTGCTGGAAATTTCGACGATGACTTCGTCATTACGTGGGGACATGGCCGTGGTAAAATACTCGACAATGGCCAGCCTCTTACAAGAGAAAAATTTTGCGTGATGAAAATCTTTCAGTCGCCCAAAACTTAGGGCTAGTACATATTTAGTAGCTTGAAAGTACTAGTGACGAAATTTTAACTAAAAAAAAATAATCAAAAACTAAATATGCGAGTAAAGATTTCATTGTGCCTTGGTTTACCCGACGATGTTTCTAGTTGCTCAACGTTTTTTGAGATGAAGTTGGTTCGCCGCCTAAACTTTAGCACCATGAAGGCATTTGTCACCTTAAGTATGTTGTGACAAGATGCTTCATCACCTCAATTTTAGCGTCTTTTTTTGCGATAAGTTTCTTGAGACAAAGTTTTTTGTCGTGTTTCTGATCTAAATTTCATTGTGTAAACATTCATGCACGATGAAGCTTTATTGTTCGTCGTGCAAACATTTACGTCTTGAACTTTGCTCGAGTGCAGAAGGACAGCGAAATATTCGTCGCTCAAATTTTTGCACGATGAATTGTATTTTGTTCAATTCGCCGGGAAAACACTTTTCTGTAGTATGTGGTAAAAAATGTGGCGTACGCATGTTTTCTCCTGGCTGGGATGCACACATGTGGACTTTGGTAGGACACTATTGTCGGTGGCAGATAAAAGCAAAAAATGTTGGTAAAGTCCGAAGGTACCCAATCCCAACACCCCCATCAAACACTTTCCTCACATAAAATCTGTTCAAACCCGCGATCCGGTTTATTGGGTTTTGGCTCCATTTCCCCTTGCATATTGCATAAGTGATGAGCTCAGGAGCTAACTGGGCACAGCTAGCAAATTGAACAATCCTATTCTCTTTCCCCTCAGCCAAACCACATCTGCTCCATCCATTACTACATAAACCCTAAGCCATGCATTGCTACCTACATCAAACTCACCACCTTATAGCTGTCTCCTTTCTACTCCCATTTCCAAACAAAACCCATGGCTTCCTTCAAATCACTTATTTCATTATTAACGCTGCTGACTCCTCTTGCTATAAGCTCTTTAATATTTGCCTCTGCTGGTAACTTTAACCAGGAATTTGAGATTACATGGGGAGACGGTCGAGCTAAGATACTCAACAATGGCGAGCTTCTCATTCTTTCACTTGACATAGTCTCTGGCTCTGCATTCGAATCCAAAAATGAGTATTTGTTCGGCAAGATTGACATGCAGATCAAGCTTGTCCCTGGAAACTCTGCTGGCACTGTCACAGCCTACTATGTATGTTTTCATCCATTTTCAAAACTCATTTCACTCTTCAAGTTTTCTAGTATTTGATAACAGATTCTTAGGCTTGTTCGCTAGGAGCCAATGACAGTGTGTCCCCCTCTTGTTTGCACAGGGGTTCGAATTCCTTTCTGATCGATTCATTAACAATTTAACAATAATGTTGTTAATACTTGCAGTTATCATCAAAAGGATCAGCATGGGATGAGATAGATTTTGAGTTCTTGGGTAACTTGACTGGAGACCCTTACATTCTTCACACCAATGTCTTTAGCCAAGGCAAAGGCAACAGAGAGCAAAAATTCTACCTCTGGTTTGACCCAACGGCTGACTTTCACACCTATTCCATCCTCTGGAATCCACATTGCATAATGTAAATAACTCACTTGTCCAAATTTTCAATATTTATCCTTCCAAAAATTCTTGCTTTAATTAATTCTCTAACAATTTTTTCTTTCCTTTTTCTGTTACAGTTTCTCTGTGGATGGTCCAATTAGAGAGTTCAAGAACTTGGAATCAATTGGTGTTCCTTTTCCAAAGCACCAACCAATGAGGATACACTCTAGCCTCTGGAATGCGGATGATTGGGCCACAAGGGGTGGACTTATCAAAACAGATTGGAGTAGTGCTCCTTTCACTGCTTCATACAGGAATTTCACTGCCGATAACGCTTGTGTTTGGTCATCAAATGGAGAATCTTCATGCAAATCTTCACCATCACAAAGTAATGCATGGCTATCAGAAGAGCTCGATTCAATTAGGAAGAAGAGGCTTAGCTGGGTCCAAAACAACTACATGATCTATAATTACTGCACTGACGGAAAGCGATTTCCCCAGGGTTTCCCTGTTGAATGCAAATCTTAACTGATGTGTTTTCATGTAGCAATTATTTTGATTTAATTTCCTCTATTGTTTTCTCTACGTATCATAACTATAATCAATATTAGTTCTTTCGTAATTTTACATTTCAATATATACAGTCCCCTTCTGTTGTTTTAAAACACCTTGTGGTGCCCATTTTGGCGCAACGAAAATGTTACTTCTGACCTAAAGGTCACCGGTTCGAGTCTTGAAAATAGTCTCTTTACAAAATAAGAGTAGAATCGTATAGATAGATGTTCCCCTAACCTTCGCAAATTTGAGAACCTTGTTAGGTTGAGGTCACCCTTTCTTCATAAATCTTTTCAAAAAATTTAAAAAATTTAAACTCCTCCGATTAAAATAAACGGAACGGAATATAATACTAGCCGGGCATTAATTATCACGTGTAATAATATGGTTACAATTTCCTCTTAGATTATATATCGTTAGGCATAGGGATGCAACTTTCTACCGTAAAACAAATTCAAATATTAACGGAAAATTCCAAATATTAATGGCAATCAAATTTCACTGGCTACAGAGGGAACTCCATTTGTATTAGAGCCGACCAGGACATAACTGTTTCTAGGGTTTCCGCAAGCACTTAGTGATGTAGGCACTGCAATAAGTATGGTCCCTATACAAAATATGGATGTTGATGGTTTTCTATTTATCAAAGTCATGTTTTGATCTATTTTAATTAGGTTGCATTATAACTACAATATGTTAATAAATGTCTATCCTACCAATGTAAGGTAACCTCCTACTTAAAGGGCTCCATATGTAAGCTTAAGTACCCAATTAGTGAATTAAAGTTAATCTAAGAAGAGAGTGGTTTTTCTCCTAAATCACGTGTTAGGCTTGGTCGTGTTGAGTGAATCCACGATTGGCGATGTTGATCAATTCTCTTGCCCCTAGTTAGTGATTCCTAGGTATATCTATCCCCTGTCCTTTCTACCCTAGGTCCTTTGGTTCTCTACTGCATCAAGTGACATCGGAGCAGGTTTTCCGCTGTGATTGAAGATCATGGCTATGATTATCAATCCGTTTCAAGATCACATCGTTGAAGAAAGTAGTTGTGTCCAATGGTGGATCCAGAAAAAATATTTCGGGGGGTCACATATAAAAGTTTACAAACATTTCTTAGACATATAATAACCTTAAAAATTAAACTATAGTTCCATCATTCATAACTTATAAAACAAATAAACCACCATATTATCACTCAACCATTGATCTCTCATTCGGTTACGCAATGGAGTCTTCACAATATTCATAATAGAAAAAACTCTCTCCACTGAAGCAGTAGCAATGGGTAGAACCAAAGTCAATGTAATTAGCAAAATACACATGATTATATGCTCTATTCCTCCCAATGTCCACCATTTTTTTTGCAAGGCTACCAATTCCTTTCAATTGAGAAAATTTACTACTCAAACGCATTTCAAGAATATAATGCCCAAGTTGATCTTCAAGTGCCAAGAGTTGACAAGTAGTAAATTCATTAGGATAAAATTGCACAAAACATATTAGCTTTTGTTCATCAAAAGCCGAGAATGAATCATCCAGGCTCAAACTTGCCAACACAAAGAAGCAACTCTGTATTTACCTCATTAAAACGACTATTTAATTCCACAAGTTGTTTATCAACAATAACAATAAAGAGCTCCACATGATAATGATGGAAGTTTGTCATTCTTTGAGCTCCATGCCGTGATCTCCCTCGAGTAACAATCCATCATCCATGCATTTATTTTTTTGGCACTTGTTGTTCATTTTTTTTCCTTAAACTAAGGGTCCAAAACTATTTACTTTTGACAAAGTAATATTTATTAAAGAAAAATAATAAGAAGAACCACTCTTACAGTTGGAGGGCATGTATGAAGCCAACTACAATCTTCAAAGGGGCACCATCCAAGTTATCCAGGAACATTCACCGAAGTTTGGGGGTCAGCACTCAAGTTATCTATGGACATTCACGGAAGTTCAGAGGGTCAATTGACCCCCCTGCCCCTCAATGCATAAGTATGATAATGAAGACGACTATACTGTTGATGCGGTTCATCAAAAAGTTAATCCGTTACTAGGAGATAAGGCTTTGTGGATTGGGGTTATCCACATGATGTAAGTACAATGGTGGAAATGTTTTATGTACAACCTCATAAAGGTAAAAACTTTGCATGAGAATAATGATTGCGTTTGTGAAGATTTCATTACTCACAATCTAGAGAGGAAACTTTTGAAGAAAAGAATCAGTGAAGATAATTTTGATTCCCTAATATCCTTCCAACCTTACTCAACACAAGAAACATTTTAGATTTATGTTGTCAATTTCAATCAAGAAGAAGGAACTAGGGCCTACAACGTTTGGAAGAATTAGGGAAGTGAAATTGCCTCTTTTTTGCCTTGGAACACTTTGACCGCCTTGAACTTCATTTTGCAAGTGTGGTTGCTGTGGAAGAATTTGCAAGGTCATCCAAAAGATCGAGGAAAACGAAATGAAACTCAAGGACGAGTTTTTTCGAGAAGCGGAGTATGATGTAGGCACTACAATAAGTATGCTTCCTATATTAAATATGGATGCTGGTGGCTTCTCATCTATTAAAGCCATGCTTTGATCTATTTTAATTATGTTGCATTGTAACTAGAATATGTTAGTAGTTGTCTATTCTACCTATGTAGGATAACCTCCTATTTAAAGGGCTCAATATGTAAGGTTCAGTAGTCAAATAGTGAATTAAAATCAATCTAAGAAGAGAGTGAGTTTTTCCTCTTAAAGCAAGATTTAAACTTGATCGTGTTGAGCAAATCCACAATTAGCGACGTCGAGTGAATCTTTTTCCTTTGGTTGAGTGATTCATGGGTTACTACCCCTTGTCTCTTCGAGAACCTTCGTCTTTTCTACGTCACTTAGCTCCACATCGGCTAAGCACTAAATGCAAAGGGGGATGTCTCACTGGAAATCACACCCAACAAAAGTGACACTCTTGTTGGCCAACGTACTCTTCAGGCCTCACGTGTTATAGTAAAAAAAAAAAAAGGAGTTGGCTCAACCCACTAAATAGAGTTGGTAGGCATACCAAGCTTAGTCAAGTGTAGATACTCTCACTATGTCCAGAAGGACTTGTCGAAAGATTGAGCCCAACAAAGTTCAACATGGAAAGATCCAGCATGATCACATAGAACGCCAATCCCTATAATTGTGGCTCAAATATAGGTCATTCTTGATGCTATTAAGAATCTTCCCTAAACCAGAATCCTGATTGATGTCCTTGATCATATCTCCCATATCAACTATTCTTGGTTAAATGTTCAGTATAAACAACTGATCACCTTATCTGAAGATTGAACTCAAGCCGCCCAAGATTGTTCGGAGGCGGCAAGGTAGGCTCTAAGCAGATTCATATAGCTTTATGGTTTGGAGGCTAATACAACAAATTGCAGGAAAGGCTTTATAGGGCTGGCAGTGGAGTTGGACGTAGGTAGCAAAGGGGCCATCTCACTACTAGGAAACCAGTTATTAGTGGCGTTTTGAAAACCGACAAAAAACATATATTACTGTCGTATTTTAAGCAAAATCCGATAGAAAATGGATGCAATGGAAAATACTCTAAAACCGACAGAAATTGTGTCAGATATAACCGACAGAAAGTATTTCTGTCGGATAAAACCGACACAAAATGCTTAAACCATTCGATAGAAATGAATTAATAATGAACAAATAAAACCATTTCCTGTCGGTTTTAACCGACAGGAAGAAATTAATAATGAATAAATAAAACCTTTTTTATCGGATAAAATCGACATGAATGATATTAAAAATAAAAAAATATATATATAAATCACTTTTTGCATTTTCCATATCCGCATTCACCATCCACCCTTATCGGAGCTCGATCTCACCGCCGCCCATCGCCACCGTATGTCACCATTGTCTGCCTCCCTCCATCACTTCATCTAACCCTGGTTCAACATGAGGAATATCATGAGGAATATCAGAGCAGGAAAAAAAGTGAATATGGTAAGATAGAAAGTTTGTTGGTAAAATGACGGATAACTTTTGAGATGCTCACCAATTGGGATGGCTCCTGCAGCCATATACTCCACAACACTTATTCCAAAGTGTTCATCCGTCATTGAATGGATTCCTGCGATGGCCCCTCCCAGAAGTTGCACCGAGTCCTTGTAGATGTGACAAATAACCAAGGCTAAGAAAGCAAAAACAAATCCAAACAGGGTGCATTATTACAAGAACAAAAGAGAGCCGATAATCGTTGACATTGAGGAAAAATATGTTTACGAAAACAGCGGCTAAAATGGTTTTGAGAAGATGTTCACACCACACAGTTTGTATTTGTCTAATTCAACTACATACTATGTAGCTTATTCGAATTCACCTAGGCAGACGCACAAAAAAATTGCTAATTATCTGAGTCATTCATGCTGTATATATTAGGATCACTACTTGTACGAATCAATCCTCAGACGGGAAGCAATTAACAATGCAAGCCAACCAAAGATAAGAAACTTGTGAACAGATTATGCATGGTTTACGTTTAACAGAGAGAGAGCAAGAGCAAGAAGAATAAGTTATCTAGACATTTACATTAAAGGATGCAGAACATGAAATCCTTGGCACAGACCTGTATAATACATTTTTATGAAATTCTACTTCCCCGTCAACCTTCAGTTCAACTGCTTTATCTTTCAAATGTTGCAATCTTTCCTCATCTACCTTATTCCGACAGCTACCCACAAACTGAAGCTTAGGTCTGGGCAAGTGTGCATCTAATTTTCCTATGGCAACTGCAAGGGCCTCAAGTTGGAGACCATGTGCTTGAGAAAGGAACAACCAAATTAGAAAGGACTTGCAATATCCACAAATAATAATGCCCCATAAACGAGCCGCAAAAATCTTAGTACCTTGTGCTCATAAGGTTTATATTCCCACATTCTCTGGCCGAAACTGAGCAATAGATATAAATTTTGCCGGTTCAGCAAGCCTTTCCAACAGAAGCACCTACACAGACATCAACTTGT